ATATTGCAAAATGATCACCCACAAGTCATCACGCATAGTTATGGGATGAGACTTAAGATCTGCTCTTAGCAACTTTCAAATATGCAATACAGTATTATTTAACTATAGTCATCGTTCTGTACATTACATCCCAGGACTTATATGTAACTGGAAGTTTGTACCTTTGACCCCCTTCACCAATTTTACACTCCCCCACCCTCATCCCTGGCAACAAGCAGTCTGTTCTTTGTACCCATGAACTTTATTAATTTTTCTTCTCCAAATTTTTATTTAAATTCCAGTTAGTTAACATACAGTGTAATATTAGTTTCACCTATAAGATTTAGTAATTCATCACTTATATACAACACCCAGTGCTCATCACAAGTGCTCTACTTAATACCCATCACCTATTTAACTCCTTCCCCCACCTCCTCCCTTCCAGTAACCTTCAGTTTGTTCGCTATAGTTAAGAGTCTGTTTCTTGGTTTGCCTCTCTTTTTTCTCCCTCCACAAATTTGTTTTGTTTCTTAAATTCCACATGAGTGAAATAATATGGTATTTGTCTTTCTCTGACAGACTTATTTCACTTAGCATTATACTCTTTAACTCCATCCATGTCATTGCAAATGACAAGATTTCATTCTTTTTCATGGCCAAATAATACTCCAATGTGTGTGTATGTGTATATATGTATATGTATATATGTATGTGTGTACATATATGTATATGTATGTATATATGTATGTATACACACACACACACACACACACACACACACACACACACACACCCCTTTCTCTTTATCCATTCATCAGTTGATGGGCACTTGAGCTCTTTCCATAATTTAACTATTGTAGATAATGCTGCCACAAACATCAGAGTGCATGTTTCCCTTGGGATCAGTAATTTTGTATCCTTTGGGTACCTAGGAGCTTTAAAACTACTAAGAATACCAGCATTTCCTCCAATATAAAAATAATAAGAAATTAGCTAAAGAGTATCTTGGTCAAAACAGGAAAATCAAATTAAAATGAACTTTTTCTGATAGAATATTTTTAGAATCACAGAAATGATAATTAGAAATAAAATAACTCTTAGTTTAAATATTTAAAAATTTTATCACTGTAAAGAAGAGCACAGATGTGTTTCCCTTAGTTTAACAGGAGAGGCATTACTGTTTGGATCAGACAGAATTCAGTTATGCTATTTATATATTAATGCCCTGAAATGATATCTGAATATATAGTTAATTTGAGTGTTGTAAAAATGGTTGGGACAAGAAGGTAAAAGTCATCACGCTACCTTATGTAATAGAAGTAGAAGCACCACAAAGCTACTCCATATTGGTACAGTTAATGTAAAAAATAAGTCTCTAAAAACAATTTGAGAAATTTGTACTATGCAAATTTATTCAGTATAAGAAACTTCTGAAAATGACAATTTGTAAAACAAGTAAAAACTGTATTATCCCAATAACAAGCATCTATCTATAAATGTATTTGATAATAATTTATGTGCTCAATAAATAGATCTAAAACATAGTGTAACAATCATTTTATTTAAAATATGAATTATTGGGGCACCTGGGTGGCGCAGTCGGTTAAGCGTCCGACTTCAGCCAGGTCAAGATCTCGCGGTCCGTGAGTTCGAGCCCCGCGTCAGACTCTGGGCTGATGGCTCAGAGCCTGGAGCCTGTTTCCAATTCTGTGTCTCCCTCTCTCTCTGCCCCTCCCCTGTTCATGCTCTGTCTCTCTCTGTCCCAAAAATAAATAAACGTTGAAAAAAAAATTTAAAATATGAATTATTATCAATACATCAAACAGATTAAAAATACTTTTTTATTAAATTCAAAAGTGGTATTACTGACATCAGACAAATGTTTTTGAGTTAATTTTTCATTTGTGGTTCTGTATTTTGCAACGATTTTTAACCAAGGCCATTTGTGACAATGTTATACATTTTTACAATGGTTGACCAATCTTTCACTCCAATGTACAACTTAATGTTTCTTTTTTTTCTTAATGTTTCTTTTAAAGTTATAGTGACTCTAAGTTTTGAATCTATCATGGTACCCCTATCATACTTTAGGTAACCAATGGACCTAGATTGTTCCAATATAACATGTTTATGATTTTGTTAAGTGAAAATTGAAACCTTGGCCACCCCATCTGTTATTATAGAAACAGAAATTCCTTTCTGCCTTTTTCTTTGTCATCTTTAATCCTAACATGACAACATAAAACATTTTGATTTGTTGACTTGTATTTTCAGCTGTATCAACAAATATAGCTCTTTGCCTCCATTAGCTATTGCTTCTTTTCTCTTTTCTGTAGCCAGGAACCAAATGTGTTACTGCATTAAGAGACTTAGCCTTTGGAACCTTGCCCTCTTCAGTTCTAGGCCACACAGAATCATTAGTATAATGTTCCTCAAACACTGTCATAATGCTTTTCTCCTCTATTTAAGAGCAGTTAGTAACTTTCTATTGCCTGTTATATCAAATATAAAGCTTTTATGCTAAGAGTTAATATCTGTCTTCATCTGACCTTTTCTCTTTTAGCTATCTCATTTCTTCTTGCTCTTTGGCACAGTCTCTCTGCTACTTCCAAGCCATCTGGTTGTTATTAGCACACAGGATTTGCTTCTAACTGCTTTCCTGCCTGTGCAGATGTCACTCCTTGAATCACTGGGTGCCCACTGCTTCCTGAGGCAGTCCGTCCCATCTTTGGATAGGTCAGTTAGAGAGCTTTTCTCTTTACTGACCCCAAATCAATTACAGTATACAGGATAAGGTTTTCATTTTTATCTTTGTGTGTATGGCAGTCTAACGAGGTCTTCTTTCTTAATTGTTTTGTATATGTACATTATGTCCACAGTGGTGTTGTTTATCAGCTGTGGGGAAAGATCTCTACATCTGGCAATTTTGCATTTCCATACCCTGGTCTACCCGCCCACCACCCCAGAACCACAACAGCTCAAACTCTTAACTCTGAGCACAGTATGTGTTTAATACATATGTGATAACGAAGCTTTATTCTATGTATGGAATTATTTATATGTGAAAAATATATATTTAAGTATACGTATCAAAGGATAACAATCTCTATCTCAGAAATGATTCTGTGAATTTTAGTTGTACAGATACAATGCAAGCCTGATCATATGCAAGCTCAGCCCACACACAAGGCAAAATGCTTAAACATTACTAATTGTTTGACTCAGAAAGCAGTACATTTTGCATGCTTATCTATAATCGGTTATCTTGGCATTGTTACTACAAAACAAAGACAATTATATCTTTCAAATAGCCTTTGTAGCCTGACCTTTTATTAGTGGCTCTAAATTGTTAGCATCTCCAAATGTCCTTGCATTTTAAGCTATTTCAAAAATTGTGTTTCCATAACAATTTTAATGGAATCTCCTGTGAAACGATTTTAATCATTGTAATCAGCCACATCATATAATTAGATTTTAATCAGGACCTTTAACAGTAATCTGAGAGTAGACACTTATAAAAATGTTATGTCTGTGTGGGTTTCTTCTCCTGACCCCCTCCTACCCCAACTATATATGTGGCACTATAACAACTGACCATGGAGAAAAAAGTTTGCTTTCCATTTGTCCCACATAATGTGGAAAATATTGCCCAGGAACAGGTAGGTAGGGCCATGATCAGTCGATGTCTAGTAGAAAGATACACATATAGTGATAGGCTTTTCACTAAGGCTGTTGCTTCTCTTGTGGCCGATAAACACTGACTTATTTGTAGAACGGCCGCTAAGGTTGGGAGTGTACCTCTGGGCCATGCAGAAGATTGGAACTCTGGGGCATAGTTGGCATGGGGTGAGGTGGATGGCATGGGTGTGGAGGAACGGTGGGGAGGGCTCATCTACAACCCATATTACTCTATTGTACTGCTTTGCAGGTCCTGAATTATCAGGAGTGAATTAATCTTTTTCAGTTCTTATTATTACTAGATTTTGTTAAAGCCCACTTTTATGTCTTCCCATTAGTCATCTATGTAATTTTGGAAGGCAAAATGCATGAAGCTCAGAGCTAATTATGCATTCTATTATGCCTTTAGATATCTGGATGAAAGTCATGTTCCGACGCTCAATCCCTTCCCTAAAACTCATTTCCATGAGTGATGACTTAATGATCTATTTACTTTAAAGGTTTGCCTTTGGGGACAATGATTTTCCTGGTTAGCTCATTTGAAAGAATAGACTTCTCTTTCATGGAATCTGTAAGTATTTAGAAAAATCATTGGGAGCTTTGAAAATGCAATTGACACAAAATGTGTTGAAACCTATGCTTTGACTATCCCTAGGGAGAGGGGACCCCTTTATATCCAGGCAGAGTATGAGAGCCATAGTGTCCAAATTCTCAATTCCATTTGTTAAGCATGAAACCAACCAGCTGTGGAAGCAGTGTGGATGAGGGCAAATTTGCAGCTTTGCAACTCCAAAGTCAGTGTGTGTGAATAAAAGAATGATAAAATGACACAGTTCTCAAGTAGGATGATTGTTAATCAGTTTTCCCTGATCAGTTTTGTTCTTCCACCATTAATAGCCAAGCTATCATATTATTTATAGCTAGCTATCTAAGAATGCAAACATTAGCCTCATGTATGCCTTTCACTTTGATCTCTTAATTTCTTCCCCCCCCCGCCTGCGGTTTTAAAAACAGCAGTCTTCAGTAATAACATCCATGACTTCTAGGTATAGGTCATATTGTTGGTTACAATAAAGAGATATTTTCTTATGTTTTTAACAGCAGAGTGCAGTATTTTGCAAGGAGAGATGCCTTTGTGAGTTAGGATAGATATATTCATTTCTGTTAGACTATGCTTTTTCTGAGCTTTTATGACACAGTTCAATCAGAATGTGTGCAAAAACCCTTCTGCTATAAACTCTAATATTGGTAAAATGTAAGTCATAAATGCAACTTCAAGCAAGTTCTGGATTTAGTGAGAACAAAAGCAAGGTGGATTTCAGGTGAGGACAGACTGTCTCCCTCTAGATGTCAGTGTCCATTCCAGAACCACACTTGCGGCAAAAGATTTCCTTGTTCTGGGTCAGGAAGCCTTCCCCCACCAAGGAGACTGAGCACTTCCCACAGTTGAAGCATTCGCTGTGCCACTGCCGGTCTTGAAAGCAGATAAACTTGGCACCTTTGAGACCTGTAAAGGAATTGTGGAAAAGAATATTCTTTCAATGAAGAGATTAAGCATTCCATCAGCTACTCTTCTAGGAACTGGAGATAACAGCAATGAGCAAGTCTATGTAGAGGCAAGTAACCTTGAAGAGAATGCTGCCTCCCATGCCCCTGTGTCTATCTGGGAATGTCGCCGTGGGCAAGTTCCCCCTTGAGATCCAGCCTGATTCCCAGTCAAATTTTTCTGTAATCTACACAAGTAGGTAGAATCTGAATATACAAACCAGGTATTTTTGGAAACAGATGAAGATTGCCTAAGACAGATAAGGAAACACAGTAGAATGCCGTGGGAAGAGGGAATGGATTTCAAAGTCAGAGATACCTAAGTATGAATATTTTCTTTCTGCTTTCTTAGAAGCAAAGTGAAGATAAAATAAAATAAATGTATACTTTCTAGCCTAGTGCCTGATGTTTCAATGACTTTTAGTTCTGTTACCTCTATTCCTATGGTCAATTTTGCTTCAGATAAAGTTCCATGGTCATATTGTGGTGTGGGGCACAATTTTCCAAAAGCCCCAAATAGAAAATTTCATCCAGACTATCATGGAGTTAACCTAACATGACAACCTTACTACCTTGCCCAGAGACAACTTTAGGCCAGGCTTGCAACAAAGATCTGTGAATCTGATCACTCTGGCCACTGAGGCCATGCTATCCAATGGTTAGTCTCTAAGAAGTACTTTATCAGCCTCCACCATTTCAATCTGGGTTTCTTTAGCTGTAACATTTCTATGAAAGGTAGAAGAATTTGAGTCTTCAGTAAGAATCTCTTTCTATACCCCTAATATGGATCCAGGTTACAATTTAAAGAATTGATTTTGAGGCATTGAAAAGGAGAAAAGGTGTAGGGATTGGGAAGGAGTTGGGATGCCTTGGGCCTTTCTTTATTTGCCAAGGTTTTTCCAAGTGATCATAGTGCTATGAACTTCCTGTGATTTGCTCCTTACCCATAGAGTGAGGCTAAAATAGTTCATGTGTTGATTCACATACAGTTTCCAAATACTACATTTGGGGAAGCAAAAAAGGTGAATAACCATTCTATTTCAGATAAACTCTCCTTAAATATGATAATGAACTTTTATTTTCATACTAGAAGTGTTATTTGATGTCTTTACATATAATTTACTAGTTCATAAATAAATGTACATCAAATTTCTCTACTTTCCTTGATTAAATTTATTGCTCACTTATTTATGATGCTATCATTACTTGCTAATAAGAGTAAATCAGTAATGAACCAATTAATTCCCTGAATGTTATTCAAAACATTAATAAGCTGACTGCAGGAATCATGTTCTATATATGCATGAATCATCTTTGTTCATAAAACTAATTATTACACATCTTGAATTTTGTTGCTCATGAGTTTTTCTTGATTTTATTAGGTAAGCCTGTACAAGTGATAAATGTAAAAATAATTCTAGAATTTTACAAAGAGAGAAATAGAAGCGTCTGGTAGTAGGAATTTAAGAAAGGCCTGACTCAGTATGTGAGATGTTTACAAACTGTTTCAACTTTGGATGCATTTACTCCCTCAGATCATGAGGGCCATTTGCAGTAAGGAAGTCCCCCAGGAAATAAGTCTCTGGCACCTGTTTTATTTGGCTTCATTTATTACTGAAGATTTTGTAGAATAAGAGCTAGCATTTGTTGAGCACTTGAAAACGAGTCAGTCACTATTGTTTTTTTTTCTTTAATGTTTATTTCTGAGACAGAGAGAGACAGAGCATGAGTGGGGGAGGGGCAGAGAGAGAGGGAGACACAGAATTGGAAGCAGGCTCCATGCTCTGAGCTGTCAGCACAGAGCCTGACGCAGGGCTTGAACTCACAGACCGTGAGATCACGACCTGAGCCGAAGTCAGAAGCTCAACCGACTGAGCCACCCAGGTGCCCCACGAGTCAGTCACTATTCTAAGCCCTTTACTTATATTGCTTCACAACTCTGACCTTACTTTATGAAAAGATATTATCATCAACCCTACTTGGCAGAGAAAAATTGATGAACAGAAAGGTTCAAGCACTTGCCCAAATCAGCCAGCTGGTTTATGGCAGATCTGGGATTCAATCCTAGGCCATCTGGCTTCAGAGCCTATGCTCTTAACTTCACCAGATTAAGTCTGAATTTATCTATTGTAAAGACCATAACCAGGAACATTAGCATTCTTTTCTCCAGAAATAACTTTTGAAACTCCTTTTACTCAAAATAAACATGGAAGAAGGGTAAGGCGTGATCCTCTTCAACTCCTCATTTGCAAGTAAGGCAAATGAGAACCTCAGTGGTGAGTCACTTACCCATGGCCACACAGTAGTCAGGGCCAGAGGCAAGACCAAGTCTTTACTCCCTAGTCCAGAGCACTTCCCACTACATCAAGCTGCTTCACTTAACCCAGAAACTTTGAAAGGTTAATCCTATCTTAGAGGGCGAGAGAAAAAAAAAGAAAGGTTTGTAGTTATACCTTGGGTTTGTTCAAATGAATTGAATTTATTCTGATGGGATTTAAAAAAATCACATCTGGAGACTCACAGATAGATTTGGTTAATATAAAAAAGTATTTTGAAAAAAATGTATTTTGAAATATTCTAATATAGTTTCTTAGGTTGGCACATTGTTTGCATGAATGTGCAACTTCCAACAGATAAATTTATGGCTGTATAAGAACTCCCTATGGTATGTTAATTCAAATGCTCAATTTTCAAGAAACACTACTTATTGCAAAGCTTATGATTAAGATAATTATCATAAGACTGATTATTCTAAATTAAATACATAATCCTGTATTTGGATTACTTTTGGGTCAAATCTGTGGTTCCTGATCATCCTTATGTTACATGCAGAACAATGTGGGTTTTTTTTTGGTCTGAGCCTGAAAGAGCTAGGTTCAGATACTGATGTGAAACAATCCAACAGAAAAAAAAAAATCACTTAGATACGTGAATCTGTGATAGATCAGAATTGAAACTCAAGTTCAGGGCTCGTGGTAGGCTCTTTGCAGGTCAGCATTAGCCACTGAGTACGCAGGAAATTTTCAACCCATTTTGAATTATTTAATTTTCTCATTTCCTCATGGAAGTCCTCCCTTTTTTCTGGATAGTTCAAGAAAAGTGTCATGGAATAAATCAAATGCATCCATTGGGCAGTAATCGCAGATTCTACGGAGATTTTTGAGCTCTCAGTACTGATACATTTCTGGAAGCCCCATTTTCTAACCAAAACTGGTGGATATAGTGGCTTAGTCTTTTGACTAAGGGGTTGCCAGATGTGTAGAGGCAGGAGAGCAGAGTGGTTAAGAGTTCAAGCTTTAAAGCCCGATAGTCTGGGATTGCCAATGCAATCCAATGCAAGGACTGGGAAGGTGACATGGCTGAGTGATGGGGACAAGGTGTGAGGAACAGAGCAATGGCGCAGCCACTGAGCCTATGACAGAGACCTGGCAGGGGAATGTGAGGGTAGTCTGCTCATCCCCGGCAGGCTCTTCATTTACTTTTGACCACAGAGAGGAGTTTTACATGAGTTGTTTCCAAACATGTGCAGGCCAAACAAAACACACCTGCCAGCCAGATATAGCCATGAACTGTGTGAGATTCTGGAAAACATGGTGCCCTGTGCAGGCAAACGGGACTTGTCTGTTTGTCTGGGTAACTCTCTCCTTCCCCTTGTAAGTCAGTGAAAACCTGCCAAGCTGGGTTTGCAGTGAAACACTTTTTCTTTCTTTGAAGAGTTAACTTTTATTTTGTGATATATTTGAAGATGGAGGAGGAGGAAAAGGATAAAATAATCTTTAATACTGTGTTACACAAACTGAACTAAAAGAAATGAAATATGATCTAAGAATACAAGGAATGGGGAAGAGAAGTACAGTTCTGCCACATTATTAGGTGACTATAAATGCCTAAACGAAAAGCTTCTGGTTTTCTCAGGTTATGCCAACTTCAAATTTTACTATAGGATTAGCATTCTTCAGAAGTATCTCTGAGGAAAATATAATGCACTATTTTACCTTGAAAAATCTATGTAATTGGATCAATTTATCATTTGTGATATTTTCAAATCATGTCACATGTGTTCTGTTCTTTCATCAGAATGCTATCTTGTTTTATTTCATCTATTCATAATTGAAATGTCTCACAAGTGAATAGAGAGAAAACAGAATGATACACTTGTTAGAAGCATCTTAAAATGAAGTTTAATTAATTCCTGACCTTGGCTACCCTAATTATTACAGCTTCAGATTTGTACAATCCTTGCATTTAATTAAAACCTTTTCTATTTTAGGGTTCCTTTGCCCTTGTTGGAAATTAAGTAGGATTTGTATTTATAAGTATCCCTTCCTCCCATTCAAATCTTTAAATGTCAGGCCTCCTTGTGAAGTTCTTCTCTGAGCTCTCAGCGTATCCTGTTCTCCTCTTTCCCTGAACTATTACTTAAAGTCATTACCATTACATTTATTTATTTATTTTTAAAATATTTATTTTTGAGATAGAGAGACAGAGACAGAGAGAGAGAGATAGGGAGTGAGTAGGGGAGAGGTAGAGAGGGAGACAGAGTATCCAAAGCAGGCTCTGTGCTGACAGCAGAGAGCCTGATGCTTGAACTCACTAACCAGGGCTTGAAGGCACTAACTTTGAGATCGTAATCTGAACTGAAGTCAGATGCTTAACTGACTGAGCCACCCAGGCGCTCCTCCATAAGGTTTAGTATTAATTACCCTCTATAGAACATGGCTACCCTAATTACGCTATACATTTGTCTTGAGGGGTCTGTGTAATGTTTCTATTTATATATGGATACCCATGTGTGTGTATCTCAAAAAGAAACATAAGGGAAAGATTATATATATATATAAAAGATAATATATATAAGGGAAAGATTATATATATATGGGAAAGATTTTATATATATATATATATATATATGATTATATATATATTTTACTTGCCTTTTCTAAATTTTTTTTATTTTATTTTTTTTTTTTT